TTCGAGCCCCGTGTAGCCACGCTGCACGGGGTTCGAACCAGCGGGGTTTTAAAAATGGCGGCTCCCCGCTTATGCAAATGAAGCCCGGGAAATTCAAATCCCGGGCTTCATTTGCAAGTGTGGTATGCCTACATTACCCTCCTAGTTCGAACTAGCGGGGTAGTGTAGACATACCCTGATTGATTTGTGCTCAACAGGTTTTGAGGTTTTTTTTGTATGAACAATCTTTGTAATAGTAACAAATTAGGTATATAAAAAAGAAGAGATCTGAGACTGGTCAACACTTTAGCACTTGGGACCCCTTAGACATTTCTTGGATATCTTTCAAGCTCCCCTGCAGAAGGAAGGCTAGCCAGTGGAACTCTATAGATATCCACTGAAGACCTTCTCAAGACCTTGGGTAAACCTCAATCTGGGGTTAATTTTTGGGTGCTCTACTAACCGTCATAAGTGCTGGAGACTAAATAAAGTAGAAGCTTTGAGTGGAAGCACTTCTGTTTGCCTGCTTGCATCAACTAGCTATCAGCTTGACATGCCATGTTCCCATTGATTTATTGCCTGCCACTGCCTTGCAAAGAAAAAAGTTACCAAAAGCTCTGGATTCAGCAAAACCCCAGGCAACACTTCTCCCTAGCGTTTTCTCCAACCCACAACTTCCAAACTACTTTGAACAGGAGAAAAAAGTGCCAGTTGGGTACCACAAAATTGTATAATATTCTCTTGGGTGTGTATGGATGTGTCTACGCTGCACTGTTAGGCCGTGTCCAGACTCAGGGGTTTTTTCGGGAAAAGTAGCCATTTCCCGAAAAAACTTCCCCTGCGTCCAGGCTCAAGCCGCGTTCTTTCGAAATAATTTCGAAAGAACGCGGCTTTTCTTTCGATGGCGGTAAACCTCAATTTACGAGGAAGAACGCCTTCTTTCGAAAGTTCCTCTTTCGAAAGAAGGCGTTCTTCAATGTAAAGAGGCCGTCTTCGAAAGAGAGCATCCAGACTCGCTGGGTGCTCTCTTTCGAAAAAGCAGATTTCTCTTTCGAAAGATCCGCCTGCAGTCTAGACGCGATCTTTTGAAAGAGGCTCTTTCGAAAGATGCTTTCGAAAGAGCCTCTTTCGAAAGAAGCCTGCAGTCTAGACATAGCCTTATTTCGAGATAACTAGTGTTACTTTGAAATAACAATGCAAGCGTCTAAACAGCCATTCTGTTATTCAAAATAATTTTGAAGTAATGGACAGATTATTCCGAAATTTGTAAACCTCATTCTACAAGGAATAGCACCTATTCTGAAATAGCTATTTTGAAATAAGGCAGGTATAGACACTCCGCTGCTTCTATTTCAAAATAGCCCCTCACTAGGACCATTCTAAGTTATTCCTCCTCAGTGCCTTCTGGGACTCTCACTCGAGATAGCACGGCTACATTAGGGAAGCCTGCCTTGGACTAATTTTGAGGCTTCTGTGCAGTATAGACGTGCTATTTCGAAATAAGCTATTTCAGAAAAACTATTCTGGAATAGCTTATTTTGAAATAGCCGTGCAGTGTAGATGTACCTATGTTATTAAAAGGATCAATATCTCATGCAGCCTAAACTTATTTCTTGGATAATTATGTAAAACATATGTAACTAGACAAAGATTGCAACAACAATCATCGTTTTCCACACATAATCAGGACATTTTTACTATCAACCATCAATAAAGATTTAATGTGGGAATGAACAGAAATCAGAAGAGTTTTCCCCCTCGTGTTAAGCCATGACTCTTGGAATAGCTGTATTTCAGTTACATAAATACTTGCCTAGCCCTTTCAGGATTTTCTTTTCCAATTTTTGCTCCTTATTGATGCTGGATTCCTTTGCTCCTGCAGCATCCCCAGTAGCTATCTGTTCTTTCTCGCTCTCGTCATTTGCATCTTCATAATCTCCGTCCTCATTATTGAATGATTCTCCCTTCTCAGGCTTGTCAGTGCCTTTGGCAGCTCTCTCCTTTTCCACTAGACTAGCAGCAGAGCCATAGGTTTTAATAATGTCCTCCAGCTGTCGGCTCAGCTCTTCGGATATGTCACAAACTGTTGTTTCAGGCTCAGCACTTGTTTCGTTCTCAGGAGGCTGGGGGTTGGTAGAGGATGTCTCACTGTTGTGTTTCTCAAGGCCATTCTGATTAGGTAATGTTGAAGCGCTATTTACAGGAGGGAGTGGTTGGTGTTCAGGTTTGAGATCAGTAGGCGGGTCATTCTCCATAGTTGGTATAGCACCTAATAGCTCACAGCTGTAAGTTTAAAATTAACAAATTAATGTAGCCATTACTAGGGAATGTGCTTTTTACTTAAATATGTTGTGTAAAAAACTTTATCATCTAGGTCAATTTATCCTTGGTGAAAAAAGCAAATTTTATATATTAAAAATGGAAAAGGCCCACATAAGGCTAACATTTAAAAAAATTCTTATCCCCATTGCCAGTGATACTACAGACAATTAAACCAGATACTATCTACTTTATTGTACTTTCTGAGTGCACTCTATGCCATTTGTTTTATTTCTTGCATTTTTTTCCAGCTGATTGGAACAGATTTACTTTATACTAGAGGTTTCCAAATTCTAGTGCGTGTCCCCCCTGGGAGGTGTGTGTGTGGAGGAACATTTAGAAGGATGCAGTGGTGCCCAGGCTAGCCCACATGGAGGGCAGGGAGGAAGCACCACCCAGCTCCGCTCTGCTCCAGGGTCTGGTGTGGCCTTGCCCCAGTTCCCAGCCCTGGCCTACCTGTGGCTCCCCATCTGGCTTTGTTCCCAGCCTCTGGTCCACCCCCAGCCTTGGCTCTGTTTCTGGTCACAACCCTGCTCAGGTCCCAGCCTTGACAGCAACCTTGGTCGTCTTACCTCTGTCTACATCCTTCATGTGGGAGCCACAGCCCCATTCCTAGCTCCAGGGAGGTACGGACAGGAATAAGAGGGGCATGACCCTGAAAAGTTTGGGGACCATTGTTTTAGATTTTAATCAGTTTCACTTTCATTATGGCACAATGTCTTGTACTTTCAGTTAGCAACACTGAAGAGAAATCTAAAATAGTTCTAAAATTGTTATGTAATCATACAGCAGTGAGGCCCATCATCACTATCACAATAAAAACACTTAACTAATGTTAAAAAAAACTTCTGTAAAACACCGTTCTACTATTTAATTAGCACGGTACACTGTACACTTGGCATTGTACAAAACATTCCAAAAGGCAGAATCTCAGGATCACAATGTTATTTCTTGATGCTTAAGTTCCACTCCACTTGCTTCACTGGTTACACAAAAGATTAATCTAGTACACTGCGTGTTTCCCTTCTCTTTTTAATAATAAACCAGGGTATGTCTACACTACAATGTTAATTCGAACTAACTTAGTTCGAATTAGTTAATTCGAACTAAGCTAATTCAAACTAACGCATCTAGAACTAAAAACTAGTTTGAATTAGCGTTTTGCTAATTCGAACTAGCGCGTCCACATTAAGTGGACCCTGAACCGGGCTTAAGGATGGCCGAAAGCAGTGCTGGCAGGGCATCAGAGAAGAACTTAGAGCGTGGAGATGCTTTCTCAGGCTAGCCGAGGGCTGTGCTTAAAGGGTCCTGCCCCCCACCCCGGACAGACAGTTCTCAGGGGTGCCCCGCTTGCAAACTAGTCCTGGCTTGGATTGCCCGGACTACCCACACTGGGCACATCACACCACTCGGCCACAGCCCGGCTGCACTTGCCGCAGGCTGCCATCTGGGGAGAGGGGGCAATTGGGGGGCTGCAGGAGAGCTTCCACCCCCAGAAGCCCACAGAGCCAGCCCAGTCCTCCCCATCGGGGGCTCGTACCCCATTCCTCCCTCACCTCCTTCCACTTACCCTTCCCTAGCCCCTCTTCTTGATAACGTGTCTTCCAAAATGGAATCTGTCTTTATTGAACAAAACTGGGAGAGACTGGGAAAAGGAGGTGGGAGAGGGGAAGAGAGAGGCTGGGAGAGGGGAGGGCAACTAAAATGATCAGGGGTTGGGAACAGGTCCCATATGAAGAGAGGCTAAAGAGACTGGGACTTTTCAGCTTAGAAAAGAGGAGACAGAGGGCGGATAGGATAGAGGTCTCTAAAAGCATGAGTGGGGTGGAGAGGGTGCATACAGAAAAATTCTTCATTAGTTCCCATAAAGAAGGACTAGAGGACACCAAAGGAAAGGAATGGGTAGCACGCTTCAAACTAGTAACAGAAAGTTGTTCTTCACAAAGCAAAGAGTCAACCTGTGGAACTCCTTGCTGCAGGAGGCTGTGAAGGCTAGAACTAGAACAAAGTTTAAAGGGAAGTGAGATCAAGTCATGGAGGCTGGGTCCATGGAGTGGTATTAGCCAGGGGGTAGGAGTGGTGTCCCTGCCCAAGGTTTGTGGAAGGCTGGAGAGGGATGGCACGAGACAAATGGCTTGGTCACTGTCTTCGGTCCATCCCCTCCGGGGTCCCTAGGGTTGGCCGCTGTCGGCAGACAGGCTACTGGGCTAGATGGACCTTAGGTCTGACCCAGGACGGCCATTGTAAGCTCAGGGCTCAGAGTCGGGGGTCTCAGTGGACTCCCTTGATTTTCATGCACACCTGCTTCTGGGTGGCCAGGCTGGCAGCTCTCCTGCCCTAGACGGCCACTTTC